AGAAGGCTTTGAGCGCTGATTAAACAAGACTTCAATCCACCAGAAACATGAAGCCTTGGTAGAAATCGTTTCAGACGTTGCACCGACGCCCTGAATCGTGTATTAACTTTACGTAATGTTTGGAATGTGTGGCATGCATTACCAGCAAACAGGATGGCCGATGACGCTAAGACTATTTCTAAGATTTTTTCTAAAACTTCATTGGGAAGTTTTCCAATGTGACATTCGTCATCTCCTCTCGCCGCAAATAAGTCGATGTCTACATCTGAAACAAACTGAACCTCCATCAGCTTATCACCATCATTCGCTATACCATTGTCGACTTCATTTTGCAATTCATACTCTGTCTCGTTTGTTCGGCTTCCATGAGTAAGTCCCTTAGCTATATCTGTAGCAATGTCCGTGTCGTCACCAATGCCGACGATACTGTCAAGTCCAGTTTTTGCGTCAGAGTCACCCATTTCAAAATCAACGACGTCCTGCTCTATGTGCATTTCATTCGCATAATCCTCGGGAATTTCTCCTTCTCCTGGGTCATTTGCACCGTATTCTTTTTCACTAGCGTCGTTGTGATCCGCAACTTGTTCCAACCTCACATAGTGTTCGCCTTGGTTCTCAGCAAGATGTCCAAGGTACACGGTAGCTGCTGAAACACTTGCTGACGGACTGAACACATGCTGCCCACCAACTCCTAGAGAGGAAACTATTTGGATATCGATATTATACAAGTTTGCTGCTGCATACAGCGTAATCTGATCCCCATAGGTCCCATCTCGCGCCATATGAGTTATATAATCGTCCCAGCAAGCGAACTCATCATCTGCCAAATGCTCCAAAAGTGGGAAGCCATCGATATCGTACCGATTACTTTTTAAGTACTCAACTATTTCTTTCCTCATGGTTTCAGGAGATCTCAAAATGCCTAGTCTCTTTGCCTGATGCGATAGTGCAGCAAATTGGCAATTGCCATCTCCAAGAGGATTGTAAACCAATTTAAAACCCTGATCTTCAATAGCCTTTGCATAATCGTCTCTTCTCATAGGTATGTAATACTTTTTGTAGTGGTCAATTTTTTTCTTTTTTAGACAGCTTGGCGCATTTTTGTTTCTGTTTTTCTCGCTCTAGTGTTAGGCTTGTGATATCGTCCACGGAGACCCATTTCCTTTCTTCCTTTCCTGAAAACGGTGAGGTGTATGAAACCTTATAGGTATGCAACTTGATCTTACGTTTCTCGATACGACCCTCCGTCACATGCCGTTTAATCGATGGTTTCCCTCTCAAACGTATATACACTTTTTCTCCGATGCTGTAAACCGAGGGCAGATTTAAGCGAAGTTGTGCTCGCTGCATCCGCTTGTCACATCTGCTCGTGGCTCTTTTTGCTTGCTTTCGTAATTTCAAAGTTTGCCGGGAACGCCGATTACGGTCATTGTTAGTTGGGCGAACCCTCCCAGCGCTAGGAAGGATTTCGTCTTGTAATCTGCTCTCTCTAGAGGCGTTGCACTTTCGTGCAAAGTATATTTCCAATGGTGTTTTGTAAGCTATTACTTCCTTAGAGTCGTTATTTAGAATTCTTTGATAAAGAGGGAGCTGTTTCGCCCAGTTTACACCGTCTTGACCCATTTTTTGAAGGTCATATTCCATCTTGGATCTTAGTGTCCTGTGGCAACGTTCCACCTTGCCTTGTGATTGGGGATGGCGCGGGCGACTGTAAATCAATTTTATATTCATGCGATCGCAAAGTAATTTCAAAGCTTTCTTGAACTCCCCTCCTTGGTCGCACTGTATTATTTCTGGCGATCCATGTTCCATATAAATAGATACCAATTCACTTGCAATAACCTGGCTTGATTTGCTTTCCAAAGGACGAAGCCAAAGGAAACGGCTGAAAACATCAATCACTGTTAGAACGTTTCCACACTCAGTTCAACCAATCAATTCAACGTTGCTGGGCAAATCTTTGTGTTACTGCCAGTTATTTTGAAACTGGAAAGTTAAGCGCTTTACGTTCATGTTATTCTCATAGTGCTGATTCAGTAGAAGAAAAGTCCGTTTTTTTAATTCTTTAAATCAATTAGTATACCGTTAAAAAACGGCTCACACGATTAGTTGTACTCACATCTCGGAGAAAGCAAGGGAACAAATTTTTGCGTGAGTTTTTGGGGACCGGGACATCATTTACAGCCTTCAACATAAACAACCATTTTTAATGTTCATTATAAATCACTCGTGTGACTGTTTCCGGCCTTATATAAAACGTAATCGAGCAACAAGTATGCGCTAAAAAAACCTGTTGCTTATTTCGAATTACAGTACTACCTCTTCCATAGGAACCTTTTTCCGTTCCTTTTAATTTTGGAGCTCAAAAATTTTGCGTCAGTGAGCTCGTTCATGACATGCACCAGATTTTTGTTAAGTGTCTGTTTTGTGATTGGCAATCTGAGCCGGTGATTTGTGATGATGTACTGGTCAGTAGCTTCTTTGCATTTACACCTGTTAAATGTAAGTCACTGAGTATATGATTCGATGGAGACACATGCAATACCTCATTCGTTTGTCGGATTTGTTGCAGGCATTTCAAGATCAGGAGAACATAATTGTCCCACTTTTGTTCTCTCGAGGAGAACAATTATTTTGTCCATATTCATATACTCAGGGAGATATTCGAGAATTTTAAAGTAACAACCCTCTAGAGTGCTGTCACGAGATCCGAATTGGTAAACAAAATGTGCATGCTAACAAGGTCTATGCAGGCATGGAAAGACAAAACATTTGTAGCCCAGCCTGCAAATTGTCCGACCTACAAGTCAGCGGACTCCCTTGTCCAAGTTTGTAATTTGGTTTATGACTTGTTAAGTCCATCACCGATCACACATGTATAATGTTATCCAATTTTTCCAAAATTTATTGTACCTAAGAGTCTGAGCCAGTGACATATGAAGAGGTTTTGGTCAGCGTACTCATTGTTTTGTCAGCTGTCATTTGATGCCATTTTTTTTATCAGTATAACGGTTTGCGGCCAATGCTTCTCGACTTATGCCTAGCAAGTAAAAAGACGCTGATCGGTATCAGCGAGCCCGTAATGAGACATGTATACTGGTCAGCGGTTTTTGGTGCAACAGCTGTCACTTCAACATCTCAATGTGGATGTCCGCCGTAACAACAATGCACTGAAGGAGTTATACGATTGCATTGGAGGCTAATTACACTTATTACATTTAGGACCAAATGTTATTACATTTAGGACTTTATTACATTTAGGACAGTTATTACATTTAGGCCTTCAACATGGAAAAGCTGAATGAAAGGGATGAAGAAGGTAAAGGCGAAATAAGTGGGGAGGGAAGAAAGGAAGAGGACAGAGGGATGGCTAAAATGTAGGAATATATAAGTCCAGACGAGAGATTTGGTATCCAGTGCGGCTTTTGCTCCCTCATTTTATTTATCACTCTGACAATTAGTGCTCCTGTAGTGTTTTATCAGATTGAAACGAAAGTGATGGGAGATAAATAACCCATTCGACTTCCCTCAAGATAAAAGTCTTTCCCTCCGGCTACACATTAGTGTGTCATTAGTATTTAATCACACTAAAAATCCATTTATTTACGGGAAATAAGTTTTAAAATTATGATTTAAAATCGTCAACCTCATATCGGTAAATTTTTTAGGCAACAGAAGTGTGCATGCTAAGCGTGTCTTTTTCCTCAATTAAGTCACATTTGTTAGGCTCTTAAAATATTTCATGTTGCACCATAATATCTTGGTTATTCAAACCCTTTCCAGAATAAGTTGATTTTCCTTTCCTATACATGGAAAGTTCTCTGAAAAAAATTTAACAAATTGCTTGGGGGATCGTCGACTGTAGAAATTGAATTTTACAAATAACATGTATTTTTTGTTTCCTCTAAAAGCACCATCTTCAACTTAACCTTGTAAAGCTGGGTTCAATGCTAATTGAAACTCCATTAATCCTTTCCGGCTTCCAAGATCTATATATAAACTTTTCTACCTGCCTGCCATACATTACTTTTTAGTTGATCTGAGCTCCGAGAATCTGGTGTCACACTGATCGAACTGATTATCCTCCGCCTGACATTTTTCTTTCATCTTATCAACATTTTGCTCGACAAGGTATTGTTAATTTGACGGGAAATGCCCTTTTGGTCATTTTCAAAAGGGTAAATAAGTATTTTCTTGGTCATTATCAAAAGGGTAAATAAGTATTTTCTTGGTCACTATCAAAAGGGTTAATAAGTATTTTCCTGGTCATTATCAAAAGGGTAAATAAGTATTTTCTTGGTCACTATCAAAAGGGTAAATAAGTATTTTCCTGGTCACTATCAAAAGGGTAAATAAGTATATTCTTGGTCACTATCAAAAGGGTAAAAAATTATTTTCTTGGTCATTATCAAAAGGGTAAATAAGTATTTTCTTGAGCTCCAAAACTGTATTAGTGCTTTTTTCACATGAACGATTATGCAAATTATTGAGTAGCAAAGAAACCGTTTTATGGTGGAGGGAAAATTGGTGGCAAATCTGAATAGAAGGGATGAACTAGGTAAAGTCCAAAAAAGTGGGGAAGGAAGAAAGGAGAAGAGAGATGGCTGAAGTATAGGAATATGTAAATCTGGGCGAGAGATTTGATATGCAGTATTATTTTTGGTCCCTCGTTTTATACATCACTCTGATAATTAGTGGTCCTGTAATATTTTATCAGATTTAAAGTGATAGGAGATGAATAACCTATTCGCCTTCCCTTAAGATAAAAACCTTTCCCTTCGGCCACACATCAGTGTGTCATTAGTATTTAATCACACTAAAAATCTATTTCGTAACGGGAAATAAGTTTTAAATTATGATTTAAAATAGTCAACCTCATATTGGTAAATGTTTTAGGCAACAGATGTGCGCATGCTAAGCGTGTCTTTTTCCTCAATTAAGTCACATTTGTTAGGCTCTGAAAATATTTTATGTTGCACCATAATATCTTGGTTAATCAAATGGACCTTAGGTGTTCTCAGTTTATCGATATCCATGGAGACCTAGAACCTGCTTGGGTTGGCTATGTTTTCACTGTTTTGAATGCAGTTTTCAGTGGAAGTGCAATCTTAGGAAATCTTCTGATCTTGGTTGCCCTTAAAAAGGATTCTCGTCTTCATCCTCCATCTAAGCTTTTGTTTCGTTCCTTGGTGTCGACGGATCTCTGTGTTGGCCTTATTGCGCAGCCAAGTTTTGTAATTTATCTTATTTTTATCCTTAAAAACAAATTGATCTTTTGTGAAATAATTGAAGGTGTAACCAACGTCTTCGGCGCTGTGTTTGCAGTTATTTCGCTTTGCACATTGACCGGAATAAGTGTAGACAGACTTCTCGCTTTGCAGTTGGGAATGAGATACAAACTCTTTGTAACAGTGATCCGAGTTCGTAGAATCCTTGTTTTGTCCTGGTTGCTGGTTATTTCCGGCGCTTTACTGCAATTTTGGAACTTTGATGTCTTCTTGGGCGTTATGACAGTTGTTGTGGTGCCATGTCTTGTGACGACATCTTTCTGCTACTCAACGATTTTTGTCACTATGCGCCGTCGACGAGCGCAGCAGATTGCTGAAACTGGAAAACAAACAGGACAGATGCTCAAGTACAAAAAGACAGTCTACAAACTGTTGTGGATTTCCCTCATAATAGCACTGTTTTATCTACCGCTTGCAACCTTTATAACCGTAAAACTCATAATCGGAGCCGAGGCAACTAATGCAATATTATTCGTACTCCTGTCGACGGTAGTTTTCCTCAAATCCTCCCTGAACCCTTTTGTTTATATCTGGAAGATCAGGGAAATAAGAAGAGCTGTAGTTTTAACGCTGCGGAATCGTTTTTTATCTTGCCTCTAGCAATAAGGGAAGGGGTTAAGGCTAGGGTTAGGAAATGCATACTTGCTTTGATGTCAGTGACCCAGGACGACTTTTTTCGCGATTACAAAAACTTGACTGGCCAAGTTTTATTGAGATTAATTCATCTGTACTTGTAATCACAGCCTTCTTAAAAGATCGAAGATTTTAGTGAAATAGAACTCTTGCTAAATCTCTTGCTAGAACTCAGTCTCTTGAAGAAGTTCGAGAACATTTGGAAATAAATCGAAAGAAGCCAGCTACATACATCGTTAATGCAATTTAATGGCTACTGCTGGATCTTTCCAACTGATGTGAGAGGTCAATTATCACAATATTTGTGTTTTAAAGCTGTTTGCTAAATGTATCTCACTTTTAGTTTAAGTGAAATTTTATGCTTCTAACTCTATGCTGGTAAAAAAAAGCCGATTTCGTCTTCGTCAACGTTTTTCAAATATTGAATCGTCACTAAAATCCCCTTCCTTAGTACAATGGGAGGTTGTCCCTTAGCTCTTACGCTCCTCTATCAATATATTCTCTAAGATAAATTATGTCCCTTATCCATTAAACGTTTTAATCAAAATGTTGGACCAATTATTAACATTTCTAGAGCAGGAATTGTGTACTTTCTTTTGCTTTAAAAGGAAATGAAACGAATTCGATTTATATCTTAAATACTGAATTATTTTGTTTCCGTGCGGTACAATGATAGTCAGGACTGTAGTTCTGTCTTTAATGAGGATGTTACAACCGTCAAGTTGCAAACAAGTTCAAGTGCACTTGGAATTCCCGGTTTAATGCGTTGTCAATTTCCCTAAGGTATGAGGAGATACGAAATTAATTTTTTTAACTGTTATTCGTGTCTCGAACATTTTACCTTTACGTAAAATATCAAAGTTACTATGACTAAATATCTGGAGATACATGAGGTAAATAAAAAAATTAAGCTAGTAAATAATATCTCCAGTATTTTCTCTTTTCAGAATAATATATAGTTCTGAATCGCTAGAAGACTACTATAACTGTCTGATTGGTGCCCTTGGTGTTTCCTACTTGTGTACTGTTAACCTTTTCACCATAATTAAAGTAAGCAATATTTAGTGTTCATGAACAGATAAAAAGATAAAGATAAACTTAAAATGAAAGCAACGGAGATGCGAGCAATGTTAGCTCGTCAGTCGCAAGTAAGTTTTGTCATGCTTGTCAGTTCTAACTTAATCAACAATGTAAGTCGCTCATTTTCTTAAGTATCATTTTAATTTTCTCAAATAATACATGGAGTGTAGATCAAAAAGAAAACAGCATCACCTCGAGACGTTCCGCCATTCTTGTGAGTTTCTGTTTTATTGTTATGTTAAGAATACAACGATAATACAAGCTGTAATCCAGTACTGAACAGGTGCAAAACTCTATCGGTCAAGAAATCAAATTAAAAGCTCGTAGACCGTATTTCACGCAGTACAAACCACAATAACTGAGAACAAAATTGTGGGAATGTTCAACGAATTTCGAGGCGTGGATTTTTCCGTTTCGAGAAAAGCGCAAAGAAGAATCAATTTGGATTCACTAAAGGAAAATATCCTTTATTTTATGTTTTCCTTGAAAACTGAATATCTGCTTTTGAGGAATCTGCCGCACTTAATGGCTGTGGGTACAAAAACTCTTTTATCGGCGTCCATCCGGTTATAACCCCTAAGGATATCGGTAATACTGGTCAGGCTCTACTTAAGAAACAGTATTACCAACCGCATTACCCTCGATACTATTTTTCTGAAAAGGTTTTGCATTTGCTTGAGTACATCAAGCTCCTTCTGATAATTGTTGTGTAAAAAAACCTAACTGTATATTTGTGGTTCCACTTGAACTTCGGTTTTTAGGCCGAAAAAGAATCCTAAGTGTATATCAAGTGTTAGTTTTATCCGTGTAACAAGATCATTAAAAGACGGAATTAGTTTGCCATTTTACCTCGGGGCCAAACGGAAATGAAAACTGAATGTGATTCCTACACCTAAACATTATAAGAGTCTTAATCACATCCAAAAATATTTATCTTGGTCTTTAATATCCGGTTTTCTAAACAACTATTGTATTGGTGTCACGAATTGTCAACTTGACAAGATTGTATGAAGTTGTGCAACGCATCGAGCGATTACCATCCGCAGAGCGAAACCATTGAATGTTCTAATTCACTTCCTAATGGAAAACACGAGCTTAAGTCTCGAGTCTCATGAGGTAACTGAGTGCACTGCGTACATATACATGTTCGTGAACCTTAGATCTGTCTGGATAATCTTTTTAACTATCGCTTTCAATGTTGCTATTTGTTTAATGGCAATCGTGGGAAATGCACTTATCTTGGTGGCTCTTCAGTCGGACTCTCACCTTTTTCCAACATCAAGGATGTTATTTCGCTCTCTGGCATCAACTGATCTTTGCGTTGGTCTTATTTCTCAACCTTGCTTTGGAATCTTCTTATTTTCGGTGATTACAAATCGTATGCGCATTTGTGAGATAACAGAAGGTATCCTACATGCCAGTAGCGCGGTACTTTGCGGTATATCTCTTTCCAATCTGACCGCAATAAGTGTGGACAGACTTCTCGCTCTGCAACTAGGGCTGAGGTACAGACAAATTGTGACTATTTCACGAGTTCGTGGAGTTATTGCTCTCTCTTGGCTGGTGTATACGTCACTTGGCTTGCTATACTACTTGAACGTAGATATTTATTTGATTGTTTTGCCAATAAACACACTCTTATGTATTATTCCCTTAACAGTTTGTTACATGAAAATCGTTGTCACTATGCGTCTTCGTCAAGCTCGGATTTACGAACGGGCACAACTGAATATTGTTAATCCAGGCCGTCTGCAAATGTACCAAAAAACAGTAACTTATTCAATGTGGGTTTCACTTGCAATAATATTCTTTTATCTTCCATTTATGGTTGTCATAGTTTTCAGATTGATTCACGGAAACAGTCTTTCTCTTGTGCGTGTAGAAGGCCTCGCGGCATGTTTGGTTTTCCTTAACTCATCGCTGGACCCATTTATTTACTGCTGGAAGATCAAAGAAGTGAGACAAGCTGTGAAGATGACGGTCAGACGCTGTTGGCCTCTCTCTACGTAGAAATAGCGCCTGGCATAGTTATCGAGAAAATGCTCTTAATTTGTCCTTTTAACTCTTAGCAATGGGTCATATTTTTTTATCTACCGAGTCTTTGATGTGTATGTCGCTAATTTAATGAGGAGTGAAATTTTTTTTCTGGCGTCGGGTAATTGAGTCGAATAAGATAGCAGTCAATAAAAAACTGGAATTGGTCGATTATTTGAGTTTTAGAGGACCCAACAGTTTTTTCGCTTTCCATCCAGTTTCTACTTCTAAGTATAACACAACGAAACGCATGCTGCCATAAGAATGAGAACTGTAAAACTTTGGCTTATATTGTAAATCAAGAGACTCAAATCTCTTGAGTAAATCAACTGCTAAATGGTCGGAATGGTTGTAAAAATATTCGTTTACAACAAGGACAAAAACCAAAATTTTTACTGCACATTTGTGAGTTCCTTTCAACTGTACCATTAGTTATCTATCAGTGACCGTCACATAATAAAAATCTTTCGTGTCACCCTCAACATTATCAAACATAATATCTTCTAATTGATAAATTTACTTTTAACAATATTAAATCGTATCTCGTACCTAGCAAGCTAGTTGCATATACATCTCCCAACAGAGATAATCACACATATCCACTAGTCTTTGTTCATTGGTGCATCCCAGTCACCAATCTTCCTCCAAATAAATTCAAAACGAGAGAAAACAGGCTTTAAAAGTCAAGGAAGACTAAGGAACATTTTCTTTCTGTGTTTGAAGTCAAAGTTACTCAATAATTAAATAAGGGAAAGGTTTCCTCCAATTTTCTCCAAAACTGCCACCGTGTTGAATTCCCTCATTTGTTCTCTTTCACTGTTGAACGGCCAAAAGACAGAGGTTTCAATAAAGCCGGTTACTGTCGGTTTATCGCCGCCTATAGGACCCCTCCTTTCCTGCCATCTGTTTCGCATGTGAGTAGGCTATTTAGTTTGGGTTTTACCCGACGACCTTTTCTAGACATGGCTGCCAATTACACTACCAGCTGCAGCTTATTGAAAAAGTTATTAAAACCCCTGCTTAAAAAAACCGTCTGAAAACGGACGCAAGTGATCCTAATCAAAGGGAAACAAAGGGAGACGTCAAAAATTATATGCAAGTGTTCGAAATTAAATCAGACGAACCTATCCAAAACGGACGCGAGTGTCCAAAATCAGATGAATCGTCCGATAGTGAACTGCAGTATCCGAAATCGAACAGAGTAATTGTCTACACGAACGAATTTGAAATTAAGTTTTCGTTTTCCGTATAATCTATTCCGCGTGTAAATGCATAATTCGTCATTATTGTGGTAGAAAGGTCTACTTTACATGTTTTTAATCTTACTTAACTATTGACTGTTACCCTTTTTTTCTAAACAGGAGAAAGAAATGTTTCCACAATTTTCACGACCGAGCGAAGGGTCTCGGGCGATATCTCTTTTACGCAGGCGCAAATTTAAAATGTACCGCCAGAATCAAGAAGAGGAACAAATTTTTTTTTTTTTTTTTTATCATGAACAAGACCAGATCAAAGGGTCTAAATTATTGAAATTTCTTTCCCGTTTCCAAATCGTAGGGATAATCTATTGGTAATAACGAGGGACTATAGACAGATTACGATCGTAAGAATAAAAAAACGTTGAAAGAAGCGATGACAAATGGGAATCGTAGACCACATAATTCGATAGCAACGTAACACGAAGCTGGGAGAGTCGTTCAAGCGATCTTCAGTTAGAAATCGCAATGCAGGGAACACAAAAACGCTGCAGAGGGTAACGTGAGAGAAATTCACCGAAAATTAACCAAACTGATATTAAGGCAACTTATATTTTTTATTTCGACCATATGCGCTTATTCATTATGATAATTACT